CACGTACCGCGCCTTGAACACATGCGGCTCTCCAGGAGGGCGCTTCACCTTGAAGAGCCAGCGGCCATCGACTACGTTCACCCCAGGCGTGGGAACTGCGTTGACGAAGGTGCCGGTGGATCTCCAAGATGCCATCTCCTGCTCCATGGCAGCTATCCACTGCGAGGCCCAAGGTCCCGAGGTCGCCTCAGCGTAAGTGCGAGGGGTCGGGATGTCGAACGCGTCTGGGTCACCCTCAGGGACTAGCAGCATGGAACAGAGATGGGGAGCAGCCTCGGACAGGAAAGCAAGCTCGAACTGGCGGTCCTCCAGAACGTCACTGCCGAGGGCAGGAGCACCCCCGACAGACGGAGGACAGGCAGGGCCAGAGACCAGAGCGGTGGCATAGTCAAGGCGGCGGGTAGAGGCGAAGTCAGCGACCGCAGCTACAAGAGCGTCAAGGCACGAGACCGGAACAGACGGGTCGGTAACGAGAGAGGCAAGGACCCGAGGAACAAGAGGACGAGCGGCACGAAGGTAGTCAGACAGCGGGGGGGGTGCAACAACAAGGGAGGACGGAGGAGGCGACGGGAGAAGGGGAGGACGAGACGCGCGGGAACGAAGCAACATAGGGTGGGAGCGCAAGACAGGCGAGACAGGACGAGCACGGGAGGGACGGTGAGACCAGACGTGAGACGGAGGAGTCGGGTCAGGAGACAGGGGAGGGGACAGAGGAGGGGAGCGAGGGGGAAGACGAGCCGGGGACGAGTCCGGCGGAGGGAACACAGGGCCGTAGACGGGAAGAGGAGGAGACGGTCGGAGAGGAACAGACGCAGGGTCAGGGGAGGGAAAGCCGAGCAGGCGAAGGGCTGACACCGGTGGGGACTGCTGCTGGGACGGCACAACGCCGACACCTGGACCGCAAGCTGCTCCTCGGATACCACCGGCACACTCCACACCAGCACCCCCAGAGGGAACACCTCCAGGGCCCGAAACCCGTCGAGGACCGGTACCACCCCCAGGGCTACCGGGACTAGCACACACTCCAACGCCAGCACCCCTAGAGTCAACGAACGGGTGCTGCGACGGCGGCGGCAGCGGCAGCGACAACGATGGCTGCGGCGGCGGCGGCGGAGGTGACAACGGCTGCGATAGCAGGGGCGACAGCGGCGGCAGAGGCGGTGGAGGAGGGGACGCCTGGGGAGGGGCGGCCGGCGAGGACTGCGCCGCAGGACCACCAGAGTCAGAAGACTCCTCAACCGGGACCACCGACGGAAGAGGGGTGACGTGGGACACACCAGAGGGGGCAGGACGGGGAGGAGGAGGGGGAGGGGCAGGGACTACCAGGGAAGGAGTGACCAGGAACAGGGGGGGGGTAACCGGGGGACCGCGGTGGGGGAAGCGACGGTAGTAGGAGACGTACTCGTCAAAGGTGACGTCTCGAGAGTGAAAGAAGCGGTGAGACGGCGGGTGGTAGAAGTGCTAGTCGGACGCGTCAAGGGGAAAACCGAGGAAGACGCAGGGAAGAGTGCGGGCAGTGAGCTTGTCCGTGCCGGAGGCACGGACGTGAGCAAGGCAGCCCCAGACGTGGAACGCAGACGCGTCACCAGGAGACCCAGTCCACAGACGGGTCGGCGAAACCTGCGGCTGCTGGGGGTGTGGCCACAGGTTAAGCTGGTGAGAAGCGTAGCGCACAGCGAAAGACCACAGAAAATGGGGTGCACCGGCATGGATCATGGAGGTGCGAGCCACCTCCATGACCAAACCGATGCGTCGCTTAGCGACCCCATTCTGCTGTGGGGAGTCCGGTAGGGTGAACGTCTGGGTGATGCCCTCCGCACGACAAAAGCGACCAAGGACACCTGAGGCAAACTCGCCACCACGGTCGGAGTGAAGGCACAAGACAGGGAGACCTTGGTGGAGACGGGCAGAGACAAGCCAGGGGATGAGAGCAGCAGGCACGTCGGCCTTCCGCTCCAGGGGAAAGACCGAGGTGTAGCGAGTGAAGTCGTCGACAAGCACAAGGAAGTAACGCTCTCGACGCGGCCCATGGACGGGGGCGGGGCCCCAGACGTCCATGTGCAGGGTCTGCAGCGGCGCGGCGGTAGGGGGAAACGAGGAGGAGTGAGGGGCACGGCGAAGCCGACCCTCGACGCAAGGCGTGCAAGGTGGGGCTGGGGAGGAGGGAAAAGCGGGGAGAGAACCAGGGAGACCAAGGACGACGAAAACAGCGGGGAGTGGTATGACAGATCTTACTGCAAACGAAGCCGCGGCGAGGACCGGTCTGGATCTAGTACTGACAACGCACGCCTCCCGAACCACCACTCGGCACACCACCACGCGCCCGACCACCTCCAGCGCCAGGCCACCCGGGCGGGAGGACACTCGCCTGCCTCGTCTGCGGCGACTGCTGCGGCTGCTGCGGAGGCTGCGACTGCTGCGGCTGCTGCGGCTGCTGCTGCTGCTGCTGCGACTGCGGAGGCGGCAGCTCAGCTGGACTGGGCAGGGTCCCCTCGTCCGCTCCAGCACAAGACAACCCGACTCCACCACCACCCCCTCCTGCACCCACGCCTCCTCCGTCGCGCCCAGCCTTGGGGCGGCGGCCCTTCCCCGAACGAAACTGCGCTGCAGCAGCAGTCTCAGCCACAGCGACAGAACCGTCGGAGAAGGTACACTGAGCGGGGGCACAACCCTGAAAGATAGGGACCGGGACGGTACCGCTCGCCTGGGCGATGGAGCGGTGGCGGGTCTCAATAACAGTTGTGGAGGGTGAGCTCACCGGGGTGGATGCTAAGGAAGCGGTCGCGGGCGGCGGCAAGGCGGTCAGGGAGGCGGGTGGCAAGCAGGTAGAGGGTAGAGGTAATAGGCGGCTGGTGGGCTCTAAGCTGTGTGTCAGTGCAGGCAGCGCGCCAGGTCTCATCTATCGAGCGCAGGTGGGCAGCTAGGTCAGAGACAGTGGGGAAAGACGCAAGGTCGGGAAAGAGCATCGGGAGGATCAGGCGACCCACCGAGGCAGCAGGAGGGGTGGAATAGCGCTTGATGACAGCATCTAAGTAAGCCTGGGCGGTAGTGAGGGACCTAAAGCGAGGGCGCTCGGACGGGGGAAGGGCATTGCTAATGGCAAGTTGATCGACAGCGTCTCGAGAAAGCCAGACAGAGCGCGCAAGGGCAGTGGCTGCAGTAGACTCGCGCTCGGCGGGCAGAACAGCAGGGGGGTCTGGGCAGGGGAGCGTACCGTCAAGGTGTGCGGAAAGCGGGTGGCCATCCTGCCGATGGCCAGTGAGGTGGTGACGGAGGTCGGCGAGCCACGCCTCGAACTCCAGAGGCTGGCCTTCAGCGTCGAAGCGAAGCTCCGCCGCCATCAGGAGCAGTGCAGGACTGTACAGTGCGGTGCAGCGCGGTGCAGTTCGGTGCAGGGCGGTGCAGTGCGGTATAGGGCAGTACCGCGCAGTGCAGTGCGGTGCAGGACGGTGCAGTGCGGTGCAGGGATAGGGAACCGTACAAGGGAGGATGCAGGGCCGGGGCAGGGACGACGAGCGGGCCGCACACAGCTTGGGCCAGAAGCAGCGGGCACCAGGCCGACGGGACGAGCGCGGGGCCGGCTGGGACGGGCGCAGGGGCCGAGCAGACGGGCGCGGAGGTCGCGAGGGTGGGCGCGGGGCCGGCTGGGACGGGCGCAAGGCAGGCGCGGCGGGGCCAGGCAGGCGCGGCGGGGCCAAGCAGGCGCGACGGGGCCAGGCAGGGCGCGACGGGGCTAGGCTCGTGCAGCCGTACTCGTCGCAGCCAGGGGTTTATCTGCTGCAGCAGCCCACGGACTTTGCATGCGTGCTGCTCATTCAAGATGCGTGCTACCTCTACATGCCAGATATTGGGTGCTACCTCCCTCCCCTGCCACTTCTACAGAAACGGTTCTGGGTAGTACGCTCCCCACGTGCCACCTCTACAGAAAAGGTTCTGGGTACTACCCTCCCCACGTGCCAAATCTACATACCAGGCCACACCTCAGTGTGTTTTTATCACAAGGCGGCGTCTGCTTTGTTCCAGCATAACTATCCTCCCCCCACCTTCCCTCCCCCCTCCTGTGCGCTTTTCTAACCCCAGCCTAACTCTCCTTGCATCACGCTCCTCTTCTCTCCCTCGCCTTGCCGCCCCCCCCTCTCCCCACCACTTGCTTTTTCTGTGTCATCACAGGAAAGTCGCGGCACCACCAGCCCCAGACAGGCATCTGGTTCGCCAGGGATCGAACCCGCGACCTCTCAAAAATATCCATAGTCAACAACGTGTGCCACCTGTACAGTGACAGGCTGGCATAAGCGCAGTACGAGTCCTGGCTGGAGCTGAGCTGGCATGAGCTGGCAGCCGCCCTGCAGAGAGAATCGGCTCTTGGGAAGGGGGTGAAAGGGGGGAGGAGGGAAGTGGAGGAGGGAGAAAGTGGAGAAAGAGGGCGAATGCAGGGGAGAGGTAAGGGCAGGGAATCCGGAGGGGAAAGTACAGGGCAGAGGAGAGGAGCAGGGCGAGTAAGTGAGGGGGAATCAGGGGACGAGTTGACTGACGGAGGGGGGTTACGCCAAGGCATGACAGTGAACGATCTGGAGGAAGTCGCTCGGGTGTATGCAGAGGCAGGGAGGAAGCGCAAGCAGAGGATGGCTGCTGCTGCTTCTTCTGGTGCTGGTGCTGGTGCTGTTGCCTTTTTTAATGGTGCGGCAGGAGGAGAGGAGAGTATGCAGCAGGGCAGCAGCAGTGCCAAGGGCAGCGGCAACGGCACATGGGTGGGGCACCACCCCAGCGTGCCTTACTCCATGCTCCTGCCCGAGCTGGGGTACTCGCTAGAGGCTCTAGATGCCCCAGATAGGCCGTTAGAGGAGGTGAGCTTCAGGGACCCCAGTGATGACTGGAAGACGCCAGGGGCTGGCCGGAAGGAGAGCGGGGAAAGGGCAAGCGAGGGGAGGAGGAGGAAGGGAGCCGTGAAAGGTGGGCCTGGAAAAAAGAGCTCTGAAGTGGCTCAGAAAGGAGGCAAGGCGAGCGAGGGGGACGGGAAGAGTGTGAAAAGTGGTGGGGCTGGAAAGGAGACCCGAAGAGAGGTGCTCTTGGGTGGGCGGAGGAAGCTGCTGGGAGCCTGGGAATCAAGACATCGCCACAGCCAGGGGCCACGTAGACGCCAACCCCACAGCAGCAGCAGCGAAAACACCACCACCAGATACAACCTTCCCTGGATGCTGCCTCTGCAGCCTCCCCACATGGCCATGGAGAACCTAGTGGACGGGTTCGACCAGGAGCCGGACGAACAACCCCATGTGGACCTCTCGGACCTGAAACGCCGCTCCAAGCACACCTATGGGCGCCTGGTGAGCCACCTGGGGATGACGCGGTACGTGAATGGGAGTGAGAGAGGGAGCAGGGAGCGGCTGGTGAGACAGCTGGCCGGGAGATTGATGTGGGTGGGCGTGGTGCCGCGGTACGGGTCGGCTGTGGGCGAGTTTGGGCGCGCACTGGTGCCCCTGATGGAGGTGGCTGGGCACCTGGAGGCCTCGTTAGAGTCACGGGCAGAAGGAGAGGTAGAGGCAGCTCCTGGAATGCAGCAGTCAGGACGGAAAGAATCGGCGTAGCCGCAGCCAGGGAAGCAGCGTGCACAGCAGCGAAGCCAGCTGCAGCAGCAGCAGAGGCGAAACCAGCAGCAGCAGCAGCCGCAGCAGCAGCAGCACGAGAGGGTGGTGGTATTTTTCCCTGGAGACAACTCCATTCGCTGCCAGTGGACTGTGGAGGCCGCTCAGCTGCTGTTCAGTGGGCGCACACGGGTGCAGGCAGGCAGAGTGGCGGGCCAAAAGGCGAGACAGTCATGGGCGGGGTGGGTGGGGAGGGAGAGGGAGAGATATAGAGTAATCTATGGAGGAGCAGGAGGAGCAGCACCAGCAGCACTCACTTGCACTGATGCTGTTGTCCTATTCGCCATTCACCCTCGAACCAACTATCGCCACATCTACATCCCACCACATGTGCTTGCAGAACCGGCTTTGCCCCATAAGCAAGCTGCATGTCCTCCACCGTTCATTCATCCCTCGTACTCTCGTCCCCCACACCCCCCCATTCCGCCAGGTGTGCTTCCATATCCTGCTGCTGCCGATAAACAAGCTGCACCGCTGCCACCGGTCATATATCCCCCAATACTGACTCCCCCGCCTCTCCTTCCCACTCCCCCTCCCTCCTGCCAGGTGTGCTTCCAGAACCTGCGCCTCCCAATCAACAAGCTGCACCGCCCGCACAGCGCTGACCTCACTCGCCGCTGCGCCTCTCTTGCTGCCCGCACCAGCACTGAATCCCAGGAACGAGCACCCTTTCCGCCCCATTCCTCTCACCCCACCAGTTCTCACGCCCAGCCCCTCCAGAGCGACCCCCAAGCCTCTGCTCCCCCCAACATTTCGCCCCTATCCGCCAGCAAACAGCCTGCTGCCAGCCCACATGAGCCTTCTGAGTCTCCACAACCCTCCTCTACCCAGAGTTCCTCCCCCCCACCTTCCCTCCCTCTTCAGCCACAAGCTGTTGCGCCTACAGCTCTGTCCTCGTTACAAGCCTCCTCCTCTCTAGGGCTTGTGAGTCGCAAAACAAGGCTCGACGCCAATGCGTCGTTAGGGTTGCGTAGCAGCTTGATAGAATCCTGAAATGAAAGAGCAATTCTCTCATGCGAATAAATAGGAAAGAGAGTTCGTTTGTAAGGTAAGTTATGTGCAATTGTTTTTCAGATTGGATATGAGCGTGAACGTGATTTGAAGCCATTAGGGGATTTTGATGAGAAATGTATAAACGAGAACAATGCCATGGATTTTCTACAAATCTCAACATGAAAAAAAAAGGTTTGGTTGAAAACAACATCAAATGGTGATTATGGATGCAAGGCGTGTACTTGTCTGTAGCTATTAGAACTTATGCATTAGAGGAAAAAGATATTTACTGTTGTGGCTTTTTATTCAAGCTTGACTTTTTAGTTGCAGTGTTTCACGTGGGATGATGGTACATTATGGCACACCGTCAAGACGATTGGTTCGTTTTGACGTTGACAATCAAGTTGCAGTGTGACTCCATCTCTTCTCGAAATTGATTGGAACCGTGAGTTTTTTGTTGCATGAGTACACTATCAGCCGAAGGCGGACTGTAGAGTCGTTTGCTGAATTCCTAAGCAAACTTGGGCAGTTTTTTTTTTTTGGGTTGCGTATTAGTTTGTTTAGATCTTGACTGTCGAGTTGCAGTTTGACTGTACTGTTTGCCGGAACCACAGGCAAAGAACGTTCACTGTAGTCGAAATTTGCTAAACATTGACTGTTTATTTGCATGCTGTCAAGCGAAGGCAAGAACGTTCGCTGTACACTTTTTATTCTATTTGGTCTCACAGTTTTTGCACGCGGCTCAAACCTGTAAGCAGGAAATAGTAAAACACAAGGCTCGACGTGAATCGTCGGATGGCGAATGCCTAAATTTTTCCCGTTCACAACTCAAGTTAGTATTTCCCCCCCACCTTTTTCTTTTCATTTGGGTTGTGCATAAAACTTTTGTGAGTAAAATACTACGAGATTAATGTAGCATGTAACATTAATAACTACTGCAATAATTTACGGTTTCATATAAAAGAAGTGTTGTATTTCTGAAGTATTCGCTTAGATCGGCGGTTTCGTTTCGGGCGGGAACGATTGATTTATCTGCTTCGTGACTGTAACGCTGTACAGTCTCTCACGTTCAACGGGACTCGCTCTCCGTGCGAGAATACAAACCTGAACCAAACTTGAGGTGAGTGTAACAGAAATCGGACTGTAATACATGCTATTTAAAAGAATACTTGGGTGTAGTAACTTTGCTGAATTGTACTTGGTTTAGCTTTCTGGGGCAAAGCGAATACGCCCCGGGTAGGGCTTGTTGGAGCTTCTTGTTTCTGCTCGTCCTTCCCACTTACTGTACTGTACCTAGTTCTTGCTCTTTCGTTCGTGCCTAGTTCTTGCTCGTGTAGGTCAGTCCTCACCTAGTTGCTTACATCTAGTTCTTGCTTACTCCTTGTACTTGCTCACGCCTAGTACTTGCTCACGCCTAGTACTTGCTCACACCTAGTCCTTGCTCACACTGACTTCCTTGCTCACACCTAGTCCTAACTCAAAACTAACTCTTTTTCCTTATCATGCCTAACTGCCACCTGGCGCGGAGCCCGTAACCCGTTTCGCGCTTGCCCGTTTTGCGCTGGCGACTTGCGCGCTGGCGCGTTTCTCACTGTCGCCTTGCACGCTGGCACCTTCCACGCTGGCGCGTCTCGCGCTGGCGCCTTGCGCACTGGCGCGTTTCGCGCTGGCGCCTTGCGCGCTGGCGCGTTTCGCGCTGGCGCGTTTTGCGCTGGCGCCTTGCGCGCTGGCGCGTTTCGCGCTTGCGCCTTGCGCGCTGGCGCCGTGCGTGCTGCCACCGTGCGCGCCGGGGCTGCCGCCGTGCTCGCCGGCGCCGTGCGCGCTAGTGCCGTGCGCTCTCTCCTCTCTCCTCTCTCCTCTCTCCTATCTCCTCTCTCCTATCTCCTCTCTCCTCTCTCCTCTCTCCTCTCTCCTCTCTCCAATCTCCTCTCTCCTCTCTCCTATCTCCTCTCTCCTCTCTCCTCTCTCCAATCTCCTCTCTCCTATCTCCTATCTTCTCTCTCCTATCTCCTCTCTCCTCTCACCTCTCTCCTCTCTCCTATCTCCTCTCTCCGCCCCACACCTCCCTCCTTCCCCGATTCTGCCCCTACTGTGTCTCACCTCACCCTCTCAGGTCAATGCTTTCAACCTCGCAGCAGCCAGCAGTGTGACTCGGTGCGACACTCTGTGCCTCGCCTTTTCTCCGCCCCACACCCTCCTCCTTTCCTTACCCTGCCTGTCCCTACCGTGTCTCTCCTCACCCCCTCAGGTGAATGCGTTCAACCCAGCAGTAGTGGGCAACGTGATGTGCCGCAACCTTATCAACATTGACTGGTGCGTGTGTATGGGCATGGCATGCCTGGCTGTATGTGTGTATGGGGATGGCATGCCTAGCTGTATGTGTGTATGGGCATAGCATGCCTGGCTGTATGTGTGTATGGGCATGGCATACCTAGTTGTATGCATGTATGGGCATAGCATGCATGGCTGTATGCATGTATGGGCATAGCATGCATGGCTGTATGCATGTATGGGCATAGCATGCATGCCTGTATGCATGTACGGGCATAGCATCCCTGGATGTATGTGTGTATGGGCATAGCATGCCTAGTTGTATGCGTGTATGTGAATAACGTGCCTGGCAGTACGCATGTAGGGGCATAGCATGCCAGGCTGTTTTGTGTGTATGGGCATACCATGCCGGGCTGTATGTGTGTATGGGCATAGCATACCTAGTTGTATTGTATGCATGTATGGGCGTAGCATGCATGGCTGTATGCATGTATGGGCATAGCATGCTTGGCTGTATGTGTGTATGTGCATGGCATGCTTGACTGTATGTGTGTATGGGCATAGCATGCCTGGCTGTGTGTGTGTATGGGCATGGTAGGCCTGGCTGTATGTGTGTATTTGGATGGGATGCCTAGCTGTATGTGTGTATGGGCATAGCATACATGGCTGTATGCATGTATGGGCATAGCATGCATGGCTGTATGCATGTATGGGCATAGAATGCCTGGCTGTATGTGTGCATGGGCATAGCATGCCTAGCTGTATGCGTGTATGTGCATAACGTGCCTGGCTGTATGCATGTATGGTCATAGCATGCCAGGCTGTACGCGTGTATGGGCATGACATGCCAGGCTGTGTGTGTGTACGGGCATGGCATGCCAGACTGTATGTGTATATGGGCATAGCATGCCTGGCTGTGTGTGTGTATGGGCATGGTATGCCTGGCTGTATGTGTGTAAGGGGATGGCCTAGCTGCATGTATGTATGGGCATGGCATGCCTGGCTGTATGTGTGTATGGGCATAGCATACCTAGCTGTATGCATGTATGGGCATAGCATGCATGGCTGTATGCATGTATGGGCATAGCATGCTTGGCTGTATGTGTGTATGGGCATAGCATACCTAGTTGTATGCATGTATGGGAATTGCATGCATGGCTGTATGCATGTATGGGCATAGCATGCATGGCTGTATGCATGTATGGGCATAGCATGCATGGCTGTATGCATGTATGGGCATAGAATGCCTGGCTGTATGTGTGTATGGGCATAGCATGCCTAGCTGTATGCGTGTATGTGCATAACGTGCCTGGCTGTATGCATGTATGGGCATAGCATGCCAGGCTGTACGCGTGTATGGGCATGGCATGCCTGGCTGTGTGTGTGTATGGGCATGGTATGCCTGGCTGTATGTGTGTAAGGGGATGGCCTAGCTGCATGTATGTATGGGCATGGCATGCCTGGCTGTATGTGTGTATGGGCATAGCATACCTAGTTGTATGCATGTATGGGCATAGCATCCATGGCTGTATGCATGTATGGGCATAGCGTGCAGGGCTGTATGTGTGTATGGGCATAGCATGCCTAGTTGTATGCGTGTATGTGCATAACGTGCCTAGCTGTATGCATGTATGGGCACAGCATGCCAGGCTGTACGCGTGTATGGGCATGGCATGCCAGGCTGTGTGTGTGTATGGGCATGGAATGCTTGGCTGTATGTGTGTATGGGCATAGCATGCCTAGCTGTATGTGTGTATGGGCATGGTATGCCTGGCTGTATGTGTGTATGGGGATGGCATGCCTAGGTGTATGCGTGTATGGGGATAGCATGCCTGGCTGTATGTGTGTATGGCGAAGCATTCCTAGTTGTATGCATGTACGGGCATAGCATCCCTGGATGTATGTGTGTATGGGCATAGCATGCCTAGTTGTATGCATGAATGTGCATAACGTGCCTGGCTGTACGCATGTATGGGCATAGCATGCCAGGCTGTATGTGTGTATGGGCATAGCATGCCTGGCTGTATGTATGTATGGGCATAGCATGCCTAGTTGTATGCGTGTATGTGCATAACGTGCCTGGCTGTATGCATGTATGGGCATATCATGCCAGCCTGTATGTGTGTATGGGCAGGGCCTGCCTGGCTGTGTGTGTGTATGGGCATGGCATGCCTGACTGTATGTGTATATGGGCATAGCATGCCTGGCTGTGTGTGTGTATGGACATGGTATGCCTGGCTGTATGTGTGTATGGGGATGGCATGCCTAGCTGTATGTGTGTTGTATGGGCATAGCATGCCTGGCTGCATGTGTGTATGGGCATAGCATACCTAGTTGTATGCATGTATGGGCATAGCATACATGGCTGTATGCATGTACGGGCATAGCATCCCTGGATGTATGTGTGTATGGGCATAGCATGCCTAGTTGTATGCGTGTGCATAACGTGCCTGGCTGTACGCATGTAGGGGCATAGCATGCCAGGCTGTTTGTGTGTATGGGCATACCATGCCTGGCTGTATGTGTGTATGGGCATAGCATACCTAGTTGTATTGTATGCATGTATGGGCGTAGCATGCATGGCTGTATGCATGTATGGGCAAAGAATGCCTGGCTGTATGTGTGTATGGGCATAGCATGCCTAGTTGTATGCGTGTATGTGCATAACGTGCCTGGCTGTATGCATGTATGGGCATAGCATGCCAGGCTGTATGTGTGTATGGGCATAGCATGCCTGGCTGTGTGTGTGTATGGGCATGGCATGCCTGACTGTATGTGTACATGGGCATAGCATCCCTGGCTGTGTGTGTGTGTGGGCATGGTATGCCTGGCTGTATGTGTGTATGGGGATGGCATGCCTAGCTGTATGTGTGTATGGGCATAGCCTACGTGACCGCAAACGCGTTTAGCGTTTTAAACGCATCGTTTAAACGCTAGCGTTTAAACGCTAAACGCGACTGCTTGAGTTTCTAAACGCTAAGGTAAACGCACTCTCGGGCAGCCGAAAAATTTTCCCCGGGCAGGGTAAAAAGACCTGGGATAGGTAGGGGGAGGCAAGGGGATTATGGTTTACAACATTTTTTCTCCAAATTGTATCATGATTAGACTGTGCCTCGTAAGTATTTGACGCTGCAGACGCTGTAGGATTAGCGTCTGCAGCATTAGGGGGGGTCGACATGGGCGTGGGCCCTTAACTTCGCGGGAAATTAGGTGGCCAGGGTGAGTGGGTGTGGGAGATGAGAGAATGACGACTAGATCTGAACTACGGCTATGGCGCGCGGAACTCCAGGGTTCCCGTTTCTCATGGGGAAGAGATTGTGATGGAAGAAGTGGAGAAAGTGGTTAGGTTGGAGTGATCGTAGATGAACAGGGTGCTGTGCGGTTGAGCGGGGCAAAAGAGTTGGATGCGTTTTTTGGTCGCTAGGTTGGGATTTGCGACTTGATGAATGTCTAGTTGAATTCGCCAGGTCGCAGTGTCGCGGAAAAAAATTGGTCGATTTTTTTCGTCGGGCTGCCCCTAAAATTTTACCCGAGCGTTTAGCGTTTTAGCGAGCGTTTAGCGTTTAGCGTTTAAACGCAGCGTTTAAATGCTAAACGCTGCCCCGCCAGAGCGTTTGCGGTCACGTAGGGCATATCATGCCTGGCTCTGTGTGTGTCTATGGGCATGGAATGCCTGGCTGTATGTGTGTATGGGGATGGCATGCCTAGGTGTATGTGTGTATGGGGATAGCATGCCTGGCTGTATGTGTGTATGGCGAAGCATACCTAGTTGTATGCATGTATGGGCATAGCATGCATGGCTGTATGCATGTATAGGCATAGTATGCATGGCTGTATGCATGTATGGGCATAGCATGCATGGATGTATGCATGTATGGGCATAGAATGCCTGGCTGTATGTGTGTATGGGCATAGCATGCCTGGCTGTATGCGTGTATGTGCAGAACGTGCTTGGTTGTATGCATGTATGGGCATAGCATGCCAGGCTGTACGCGTGTATGGGCATGGCATGCCTGGCTGTGTGTGTGTATGGGCATGGTATGCCTGGCTGTATTTGTGTAAGGGGATGGCCTAGCTGCATGTATGTATGGGCATGGCATGCCTGGCTGTATGTGTGTATGGGCATAGCATACCTAGTTGTATGCATGTATGGGCATAGCATCCATGGCTGTATGCATGTATGGGCATAGCGTGCAGGGCTGTATGTGTGTATGGACATAGCATGCCTAGTTGTATGCGTGTATGTGCATAGCAGGCCTAGTTGTATGCATGTATGGGCATGGCATGCCTGGCTGTATGTGTGTATGGCGAAGCATACCTAGTTGTATGCATG